GCCGGGGGCGACGAGCTACTCCGTATACTTTCCATGGGCCGCCGGGGGTGTCGGATAATGGAAGGATTTCGGCCAGGCTGTTACCGACTATGCCGGTCACTCCAACTACCAGTCCAACGCTCTGGAAGCTCATCGGCGCTTCATCTTCCTCAAATTTCTTCTGCAAAAATTAAAACAAAAAATAAGCACCTTTCGTAATGGTAAACAGAAAATTATTAAGCCTGAGAAGAATCGGGGACTTGCCTTAGCAGCGCCAATGGCACCAGCCCACCACCAGCTCATGTTTTTGATAGATAACTTGGATTGGATTTGTGGGGAAGGAAAGGAAATGGCGATGGAAATAAAAAGGGAAGAGAGTAATGATGGGACTAGGAACTAACAGTCTGGCTCTGGCGTTTAATCAGGGGTTTAAAGATTCGGATTGAAGGAACGTTTTCTTGGGTTGCATTCAATTATTTGGTTTATAGAAGGAGAGGAAATGAGAGCGAGAGAAAAGAACGAGGGGGTGACAGGAGCCGTGACGACAGCATATCGGGCGAGGCTTGGAGATTTACGTGGACTCAAGTGGGGGCATTTCAGTCTCTTCGTGAGGAAACCGACTATAATTCTACTGACATTGTTTGCAAACTTAATTCATTTTATATAGTTAAATCAATCAATTATCCTTTATTTGAGTATTTTTTTCCCCAAAATTCGAATATATTTTGTTTGAATGGACCGTATGAATATATTACGTGTTTCCTTTATTGAAAAAGCTAATCTCGATCTTTATAAATGAAATAGCTTTCTTCCTTTCTTAAGTTTCTTTTGTGTCAAACTTAAGCTGGTGATGCATTTGATCACGGAGAACTTATGTGGCTTTTATTGTCGGTCTGGTTAATATTTTTTAAATTTACACTCTATTCAAAATCCAATCCTCATTTAAATTCATCTAACTTAAATTTTATAATAAAAATATAAATATTATGAAGTATAACTTAGAAATATAAATGTTATGAAATATAATTTGAAAAAATAATTATGAGAGAAATTATTTAAAGAGAGTAGAATCTTATTTGAGAATGTATTTATAAATAAAATGAATGACCTATTAATAAGCTAATAATCTTTTATGTAAATAGAATTTATAAAATAATGTTTAAAGTATTTGATTTGAATGGATTAAATTTTAATCTACATTCAAATTTTTAAACAAATATAAGATTTCACATTATATTATACTCTTATGTCTTATTTGTCTCAATTGCTTGATTGGTTTAAACTCTTATACCCTAATATAATGAAAATTCACATATATATATATTTATAATAATAAAAAATTATTTTTAATATATAAAATTATATTCAAAACTTGATCCCGTGTCAAGCCAAGCTTGCAAGCTATTCGGACCACTCGACCTATTAAATAATATTATTTTTTAATATTAAACTCTTAAAATTATGTTTTTAAGTAGCTAAGTCATGCATCGTTGCATGATCAAAATGCCTATAAGAAATTTTAATCCAAAATAATACAAAAAAAAGGTATATAGAAAAAAACATACTTTAAAAAAAATATGGAAAAAAACTCTACATGAAACGTTTGGAACTACTAAAAATTATGAAAATGAACTATGAATGACATGAAAACCCAAAAAAAAAAAAAATTAAAGAAACGAATATTTTCGCTAACTCAAACTCTAGAAGCTAAATACTGAGACTGCTTAAGCTTTACTTATGTTAAAGATCCAAATTTTTTAAAATAAAGAATACATATTTGGTTCACGAAATAAATAGAAATAGAATAAAATAACTATTATGTAAGAATAGACTAAAGTGAAAATAGAATAAAATAATTATTACATAGTTTGATATAATGAATTAAATAAAATAAAAATAGTTATTATATCTATTGCGCTATTTGATTGATAAAAAATAGTTTTGAAATAAAAAATGAATAAAAGATGAAAAGATAAAAATACCCTTTAATATATATAATTTTTTATTTTTATTTTTAAATTTTTTAATAATAATATTTTATAATTTATTAACAATATTTATAATTGATAATTTAAATATTACTATTTTATGCATAGTTTAATCATTAACATTATACAATATTAATATTTAATTTATAATTTAAATGTTATTATGATTATTTTCTTAATTTTATTTTTAAAAATATTAATATTTTTTATAATTTAAATGTTATTATGATTATTTATTTTTATTTTATTTTTGAATCTTATTAATTGATAATATAATATGAATATTTTATTTATGATTTAATCATTAACATTATAAAATATTAATATTTAATTTATAATTTAAATATTATTATGATTATTTTTATTTTATTTTATTTTTAAATATTAATAATTTATAATTTATTTAAAATACTAATAATTAATAATTTAAATATTGATATTTCATTTATAATTTAATCATTAATATTATAAAATATTACTACTTTATTTATAATTTAATTATTACTATTTAAAAATATTAATATCTTATTTAAAATTTTAATGTCATTGTGATTATTTATTTTTAATTATTAATATTTTATTTATGATTTAATCATTAATATTTGAAGGGTTATAAATTTCTAAACTTATAAAGGATAATTTAGTCTTAATAATTTTTGAAGC